TATAGGAGTGTACTCGGTCACCTTACCGGATGATTGCTAAACAAGGGTCATTATAGATGCGCCAGGAACTGCTTCAATTGCCCCATATGCACTGCTCCACTCGCGGTTACAACATTGGAGAATGTCACCGGAGGTGGAAGTCAACAGGGGCCGTGGGTACTATCATGCGGCTATTGCATGTGGACAACTCTAGACATCGGCGTCAAGTTCGATAAGCCACCAACATCCGCACGCAGTTGTCCAAGATGACGGATTCTTCCCGGGGAAGACAGATGTCCAAGACCTTCAGTGACCTCAAGTCCCCACTATCCACGTATTCTTCGATTGACGATCACTTTCCATCGCCTAGCGAGATGAGAGGGGATGAGACCAACCCTGCCAACGAGCAACCCTCAGGGCCATTGAATCCAGAGGCGCGATTCCAGGCACTGAAGGGTTTCTACAAGAGTCAGATAGCATCAACCTCCTCATCACCTAATGACCCCCTGGCTGATTTCGGAGCGGGATTCTCTTCCCCGGGGGCCCTGAATCGCATCATGTCCCTCTACACCTCATCATCCCGTCTCGGCAATCTCTATGGCGGTACCAACAAAAAACCGAAATCCAAACCGCCAGTCATGCGAGAAGCTCTCACAACCAGCGAAGGACTAAGGGTGCCGGCGCCCGACGCAGAAAACGCACTAATCCGACGCATGGCCTCCGACGACTGCGGATGGGACGGAATGGCTTCCATCGAACAGCGTACATTCCAATCCCCCGACGCACGGTTCGTAGAAGACCTCCTCCCGCTGCCGGTGCTACTTCGCACGAAACGGTCGAAACGTTGCAAGTCGTGCAAGCATATCCTTGTCAAACCCGAGTTCAAACCGCAATCGACTCGGTTCCGCATCCGTCTCATCGCCCTCAGCTACATCCCCTTGCCAACCCTCAAACCCCTAGTCCCCAGCCCCTTTGCGGGACTTCCGTCCGTCCCACCCGCCGCGGCGCCAAACCTGGACGCCCTGTCACCGCTGAAAACCGTGCAGCTCCTGCTCACCCTAAAGAATCACATGTTTGACCCGGTGCGGGTGACACTCGCCACGCCGTCGGTGACACCCGGGCGCGTGGCCTCAAAAGTCACCATCCTGTGTCCGCAATTCGACATCGGCGCTAACAGCGACGTGTGGGACGAGGCCCTGCAGGGTTCGACCGCTCCGGGTGATGCGCGCGCTCCCGATCCGGCACCCTAGGCTCCACCGAGAAAGTCGCAGAGGCCGGGAAAGTGTGGGACAAGGGACGTAACTGGACCACCGTCGTCCTGGAGGTCGTACCCGGGACATTACCCGGCGGCAGTGCCACAGGACGTAACCGCATGAAACAGCATGATGATGACAACGACGACGATGATAACGATGACTCCGATGTCGACTCCGACGGCAATGCCAATGCCCTGGATTGGAGCGGACAAACTAAGGACCCTAATCAACAGCTTCAGCCGGACGAAGATATCCTGGAGATCCCTGTCTTTGTGCGCATGGAATGGGACTCCGAGAACCAAATCGACCAGGAGCAGTCGGTTGGTAAGGGACAAAATTCAGACACGGTCAAGAGGGAATTGGCGTATTGGATGGTGTTGGGGGTAGGGCGGATTAGTCCGGAGATGGGATTTTAGAATATTGGTGGTTCTTATACTGCTTGATAGATGTCTTTTCTTTTAATTACATACATACCCTTATTGTTCGGATATTCTGGATGAAACTCGAGCCTTTGGTGTCCTGAACCTCATTCAATATATAAATGTATACCTATATGTATATCCCTACGGAAATACAGATCCAGCAGAAGACGTGTAGGGAATACGAACTAAATGCTACTAAAACAATAAGCTTAATCGGGACAAGAGAAATTGGCCACGTGCGCAGAACCCAAATGAACATCTACATGAACTACGGGGAAGGAGCCGGAAGAATAAAATCTGGGGAATATGCGCGGAAAAGAAGAAAAAAAAAAGGGAAAAGGAAATAAGAAATATTTTTTGTTTTTCAACCACGCCGAACAACAGGAAAAGCCCGGACCAAAAGATCATGAATGATATTATCACATCACATCACATCCTCTTTTTCATTAGGGAACCCTAAACCCGAAGGACCAGATCAAGAAGCTACCCACCACCGCACAGCGCACGCTGACGCAATGCACAACAAGATATTGCCGTTCCTCCTCGTCCCAAGTGTTTCCTTTTTTTTTCTTGTCTACTTCAAGAAAGAGAAAAAAAGACGTAAGCCCGCGTTCTTGTTCTCGAAAATCCCAGACTTATTTTTCTCTCATTGGCCTAATCACAGGAAAAATATAGAAGACTTTAAAAGGACATAAGGGAGAAAAATTGGCATCTAGAAGTCAGAGGCGCTGCTCTGGGGGAACTCGAAGACGACGTTGCGGCCGGTCAAACGGCGGTAGACCTCGCCGTAGGCATCGAGACGGTGGTCAACACCACCACGCTCCTTCTCATCCAGGATGACCTTGAGGGTCTTGCTGCCGTCCTCCTTGGTGCGGATGCGCTTGCCGACGATCTCAACGGGGTAGACCAGGTCGCCGAGGATGGCGTCGTGGACAGCAGTCAGAGTGCGGGAACGGGGACGCTTCTGCTTCTGGGTGGTGCGGGAGTTGACAGAGCGCTTGGGCTTGGGCAGGATGCGGCGCTGAGCAACGAAGAGGACGTGGCGGTCGGAGAACTTCTTCTCGAGCTCACGGGTCAGGCTATTTCGGGAAGTGTTAGTCTCGGAAGATATCTCAATCTAGAAGAACCAGGTTCTGGATGTGTGTTCGTACCGCTGCTGGATCTTGTGGAAGCCCTGGAGGAGAGGGACAGGGACGAAGATGATGACAGCCTTCTTGCCGTGGCCGACCTCAACCTGTAATGATACAAATCGTCAGATCAACTTTTGCGGGATAAGATTATTCAATTGCGCATCTGTGATTTTTGCAGGTGCAGGCCATTTTCGTGTAGAATCAGAAATTGTTTCTCTGGTCGCCCCCTCTTTCATTCCAGCCCAGTGATGGACACACAATCATCCTCCATCTGGATTGCACCGCCAGCTGACGCACCAAGCACACATGGCTTGATTCCACCATAGGTCCCTTCCCATCCCAACAAATATCTCTCCTTCCCACAAACGACCAGAGACAAATTCTGACGCTGCAACGTGCGGTGCCAAATAGATCGGGCAGATCTTACCTCACGGGCAGAGACGAACTGCAGAGGACGAAGGGTGGCCTTCAGGTCCTGTGTGTTGCTCTCCAAGTCGAAGAGAGCGCCGGCGATCGCGTTCTCCAGCTCGGAGGGGTTCTGCCTCGAGGGCGAGTTGAGGGCGATCTTGTTGATAGCAGCCATTTTTGCAGACGAGCGACGGATAGCGGGCTGTGCTGCTGGTGCTGCCTTTCCTTGTCGCGGGTTGTTGGGGGTCGTGGGAATAAATTCGAGGATTGAAACAGAGGTCCGTCCAGCATCCAATTCTGCTCCGGTTGGTGTGGGATCGGAGGCTCGGCGCCTCGCTTAGCGACGCGGCGCTTGTCCATCCTAGGTTAGCGCATTGCCCTCCTAGGGAAAGCCCGGTCCCGTGACCGCTCTGCCCTCGATATCAGGAACATCAAAAGAACGCTTATCTCCTATCAGTTATTATCGTCTATGATATTACTAGAACATAGGCTCCATAGAGAACTATCCTCTACTTGGTACAGATGCTCAATGGCATCCCACCCCATCTGTGATAGCAGGAGGTAACTGAAAAAATGGTTAAAGAAAATAACCCTTCACACGGTGAGAATACCGAATTCCTACCAGTACAACATCCGGGGAAACCTATACATAATGATAAAGACAAAGACCTCTCGCTGAGTGTCAGAGAATCTGGGGGGGTTTAAAAAAAACAGAAACAGAACAGAAATGAAAAGGCATCAAGATCCGGGATGAAGCACAAACATAAACGAAAACACAGGTTGACGCCGGGATATGAGAAACTACAATGATGACACGCCATGCCTTCAAACCGCCCTTGGTGCGGCACTGTCCCAAACATCCTAGGTAGTTACTCTGTAATCAAACCTAGTCACGAGATTGCTGCATGGAAGAACAAACATTACGGACTGTAGAGCAGACACACAGCCTGAATTAACAAGCACAACCTTCTTTGGCAGTGGCAGTAGACCGGTCTCCCAGGTTGACTCGCGAGTCCTCCGCGGGACGGCCAGCTCCCAAAGTAGTCTGGCCCGTACCGGCGCCAGCTCCGCGTCCACTCTTCAAACTGCTCTCTGGAATAGCATTGGCAATGGCAGTGAAGACCTCCACAACGTTCACACCCGTCTTAGCGCTAGTCTCGAAGAACAGTAGGCCTTCTTCGTCCGCATATGAACTAGCCTCCCGTGTCGAGACCTTCCGGGCATCTCCGGGAGTGGTATATTGCTCCTCCTGAGGTTCACCAGCCGCGTCATCTTCGTCAGCAGTAGCAGCAGGGGGTTGCTGTTCGCCATCCACCTGTGACTCCCCAGAAGCTTCGTTCCCGTCGTTGGTCAAGTCCAGCTTATTGCCGACGAGGGCGATCACAATCCCAGGGCTGGCTTGCCGCTGTAGTTCGGCGACCCAGTGTTTGGCTTTTGTAAGGGAAGATGGTTTGGTAACATCGTAGACTACCAGCGCCGCCTGAGCGTTACGGTAGTACATGGGGGCAAGCGAGGCGAATCGCTCCTGACCGGCTGTATCCCAGATTTCGAACTTGATCGTCCGGGTCGGGAGGGAGCATTTCTGAGTCAAGAAGGCAGCTGGAGGCACGTTAGCACCGGGAAGAGGTTGCATCCAATGCCGCTCAAAGTTCGACAACTTTGGGTCTCCTACCTCCAATAGTCGGCTCTTTGTTTTCTTGAAAGTCATTGTTGACAAATCGCAGAACTAGCGATGACTATTCACGGCCATCCATTCATCCATTTGTCAGTCTTCCAGGTTACCCGTGTACAACGGCAAGAGGCGAAGGGAATCAACCGAGGCCGTACCTTTCCAACCGCCGCCTCGCCCAAAAGTACCAGCTTCACGCTACTACTCGGCTTCGGAGTATTTGTGCTAGTTGACTCAGACATGGCAGCAGAGCCCAACGGATGGGTGGCTATACACGATTAGGTTGATTTGCAGGGACGGGACGCCAGCACGGGCGGGAATTATCAATCTCGTTGATGATTTCAGCTCGCCAGGGGCGGGTAAGGTCGACAAGAACTTAGAGAGCGGTAAGTAATCAGGGTAGCCTGAAGGAAACGTCAGCCCCGGGGACACGAGAGAGAGCCTAAGTTGGAGACCTGAGCAAGGGTTGCGAAGAGGGAAAAAAAAAATAGACAAATAGAAATCCAGGATCACCAACGTATTGCACCAATACCAGGAGAAAATAGCGGTGGACACAAGTGCACAGTCGCAAGGTACTAGGAAAGATCGATACCCAGTGAGGCGGAGGGAAATAAACGGTCGTCACTTTAGATGATGGAGAGGTCGCCCCAATCCGGTCTAGCGGGTCACCTCCAGCACGGTGGCAGTCACGGGATGTTTCCGTCCTGACGGATTTCGAATCTACTCACTGGCATTCTGTACTTCCAGCGGGTAACCCCGGACGGCAAATATTATTTCCTCCCCCTCCAATCCTTCATTGAAACCACAATACATGATCTGTGTCGCCCTCTTCTCTCCCTGTTTTTATTTTCTCATTCACCCCATGGTTCCAACTCATCAACTTGATTGTACAGAATCCATGCCCAGTTCAATGGATGGTGAGACATATCAACTTCCAACTGGCGAAACAGTACCCAACTCTCAATCTCCTATGATTGGTAGGAGATGAACCTGGTCAACGCTAGTCTGGCTACTGTCTTTGAGGCATGCTGTCAACAATGACAACATATCATGCAGGCTAGGCATGACGTGCCAGTGTCCACCAACGAGGGTGATCGCCAGGGAGTTGGGAACCATTTCCAATGACGCCCAGCCCACTGGCGCGGACAACGTTGCACAGCATGATTTGTGCAGATCCCCGGGCCGTAGACTGTAGCTGCCCAAAATACAAACCACAATAATCATAAGAATAATAATACTCATACTAATTGATTAGCACATTCAACGGGGGCTCGAACACCCTTGATGTTTGCACCAGTACCCACCAAGATAATGCGCTGCTTACAAGAATTTCAGCAAATCAGACGGCTGATACTCAGTGTGCCGCCGCAGCCAGGCCCCCGGGGGATAATCAACCCACAGCCGTGTCATGGCCTGTGACTCGTTCACAATAGAATTGAGGCTTGTACCAAACGTCATCAGGTGTTCGATGAGTGAAGAAAGGAAAGTAAACAACGAGCAGAAGGTTGGAGAAGGCACGCCTGTTTCCATTCTTAAGATGTGCTTGTAATATGATACACATGCACTCAGGACACATACACAAAAGTCCCAGTGACACTTGAACGAATAGAGAAATCAGCAAGAAAACGAAGAGAAAAACGGAATGTTTGACCGCGAGGTCGCAAGCTCTAATGTTGGTATCAACCCATGTATCCCAAAAAACCATCCTGTCTATGTCAAACGCCGAACAAATCCAAAACCCGAAGATAATAGCGAGGTAAAAAAAAAACAAAAAAGAACGCAAAAAGCACTTTTGATGAACAGATCGTGGACCTGCGCTGGTTCATGTCGATGGTGAAATTAAAGTTGTAAAGTAAAAGGATCGAGGTCGAAGGTCAAAATGGCAGCAGCATGAGTCGGAAAGTGGTAGCGAATGTGACCCTGAAGAGGCGTATTAAAAAGGTTATAGACCCGAAACCAAAAAGGCGGATAACGAAGCGAATAGAGTAATGAAACATAGTGTTACAGAAACTATGACATCCCGTTAGCCCTGAAACCGACAAGCAGTTGAGATTTGGGGGGAAATTCCACTTACAATGAAGATCGACTTCATCGACACGTGAACTCCGCAGACCATGGCGCCAATAGAACCACAAACTTTTCGCTCGAAACAATAACATCATGGATGTGCTTAACCAATGCCTCTATGGCATTTAGCTGGACTGATCGGACTCGTCTGTTTGGACGCCGGTAGTATCGTATCCTCCTCGTCCCATGGTCACAGCTCGAATATCACGAATTTTCATAAAACTCTTTGAAACGATAGTCAGACGTTGCGTTCTCACTGCGATCGAATTTGGGACCAAGGTATGGGAGAATATTTGTGGGAAGGAGTACTCACTCAAAGGATTAAATAATGGCAAGGCGTGCCTTGTGGCCCGTAATCTCCAATAAATAGAGCAATAAAAAGCCGGTGGTAAATATTGATGTGCGGGTCTGATTATTGATCGATTATAGCGTCAAGCGAGGTACTCAAAAAATCCCAGACAAAAGGCAGGCGGTATTAATGCAGACAACAGATGATGCAGCTGCAGTTGAGATCGGAAAGGTGATCCTTTTAAGAATGCTCAATCCTCTGGCGCTGGGCAAAAATAGGCAGGGCAATGCAGCACAGACAGCGCCGACAAGTAAGTAGTAGATCTGTAAGGCAGGAATGTGACGCCGCTAAGATGACCAAGTAAATGGACTGGAAGAATGAGGAAGAGTGGAGCCCCAATCAGAGTCGATAGGTCGAATTTTATTTTTCTATTCTTTTCCTTTTCCTTTTTTTTCTTTTCCCGCTCGAGCGCTTGCGACGTTGTTTATTGTGAATTGTCCTGGTATCTTTTCGAATCGATGACAAACTGGCGCGTAGCAGGGACGTGCTGGATAAATATTGAATCAAGCAATCTGATCAAACCCCGACCCAAGGAGTCAAAATAGATAAGACTATGCAGCCAGCAAGGAGGTCGTCCTAGCGATTAAAGAGTGCCACGGAAGTAGAGCTCCGTCTAGTTCGGCGATAACCAAAGATCGGACGAGGGATAGGATAGGGCGTTCGTTGGTAACGTCACAAAAGATGAGAGGACGTAAGACGAAGAGGACAGGGGCGAAAGTACGAAGAGAGGGAGGAGGGAGGAGGACAGGGAGAGAGTTCCTTATATAATTAAGGAATGATGGAGTGAAGCGAAAACTTGAAGGGGGGTTTCCGTTATATGTAGTACTCTCCCGCAATGGCCTCAATTTCTCCATCAGTTATTATTATTTTTTTTCCCTTTTCAAAAAAAGAAACGAA